ATAATCGTTAGATTCATCTATTTTCAAAATAATCATTAGTTGGAGACCTATAAGATGCCCGCCTTTACTTTGCTGCAACATTAAAACTATCCTTAGGGTTTTATAATTAACTACATTTAGTCATATGGCATTAAGAAAAACTTTTTAAACGTATTGTGCTATTACATTTGTTTTATTGCCTTTTATACATATTTTTTATTGGTGGATTTTATATTTAGTCTCTGAGACAATTATACTTTATTCTTTGGATTAAGGTGGAGCAGAAGCCTTGCTTTCTATCTGGACTTAACCCAAATATATTTTATTCTTATAATGTTTCTGCCCAGGTTTCAAGCTCTGTCTTTTTCAGAGTCGTTCATGCTATTTATGTAGTTCTATTGCCATTGTAAAGGACACAATGCCGTTTTCTATCACTGGATGATTTAAAAACAGATAAGAGATTAGATGAATAAATAAATGAGCAACCATACGATTGATGGATGAATAATATCCACCTATTCGTTTAGACACACACATAAGTTCCCTCTACTTTTCACCTGTTAAAAATTAAACTACGTTTTACTTTATCTTTAATCACACAATGACACTATAAAGTGAACCCAACTTGCCCATAAAACGTCTCTGCTTCGTTGCATCATCGTCTCTGAAATCCCGACCCGCTATAAAGTCCGTGAACGCCTCAGCGGAGCACTGTAGCAGCAGGCTAACAGGATTTAGCTCCGAGAAATCACCCCCTCCTCTTCGAGCGAGCACTCTTCGTTGTGCACTTAAACCCGACTAACGTTGCGCTTTCAGGCCAACGCCGACAGTACAATGCCAGGTAACTACAACACTTGGCACACCGCGTGTAAAAAAAACGCGCTAATTCACGCGTGTTAGGCGGCGGCTGTCTTTGTAGCGGAGGTTGTTTTGTTGACCTGCTTCTTCTTCGGGGGGATGCTGCCATGCTGTTAGCATTCTGCTAGCTGTTAGCGGAGCCCACTTTGTTTAGCCTTAGATTCTCCTCACACCTGCATTTGTCTTCGGTCTGTTTTGAAACGATTTAAAAGCCTAATTCCTTCTTTTTATTCAATTAATATATTGTAGGAAATGTTATGCTTTTTTTTACTTTGAGGGGGGGAATAGTTTTGAAGCAGCCCCCTGTGCTCTTTGTTGCTGCTGAGATAGCTGCTCACCTTTTAGGCCCCTGTCCACTGACAGTGTGTTTACAGCTGGCCTCCGAGCATTACCCACAGCTAAATCCTTTCACAACAGGCTGCTTAGGGGGAAGCTTTACACCTGGTGGAGCCCGTTAGCAAAGGCCCACACCGCTCCTGTTACATGCAGCTCGGTTACATCATGGAAACTGTTAGAAAGGCGCTTATTCCCACCGTTTTTAGCTAAAACGGACAGATCACAAAGTTATGTTTTGGTTCCTGCTCGTGTAAAAAAAAAAAAAAAAAAGTCTGTTCGTCTCATACCTTCCTTTTAGTTTAATTAGCCTTCAGTAACATAACAACAAAAAATACTCGGAAATGTTTCTGAAATTCTTTGAAAAATGTTAAATAAGCAAAATGTTTATTTTTTTTATCCAGGTGTTTATTTTTGTTGCTCTGAAACTTCAACAATCATACAAGGTTTAATATAGAAACGCTATGCAAAGTTTAAAAGTATAAACTTAATAGAGAAATGGATATAAACCATAGTATCCTCTAAGTAATTAGGTTGGTTGTACTGTTTTATGATCAGATTTAAAATATGCTAAACATGGTATAGTGTCGTTTTTTTTCTGGTAAGGTTATTGATTCATATTAACAAACTGTCATAAGTGCCTCAAAATACTCTTTATAATATCGGTGATGACATGTAAGAAAAGGTACTATTTGATAATGTCAGTAGACATTATCAAGTGCCTTTAAGCCTAGATAAAGTATATATTATTGTCCTTAACATAGTTATAGTGCTTTCAAACGCATTCCCTATTATAATAATTCAATGTTTTAGTTGATGATAAAAAATTCTGTTTACTGTACTTTAACTGAACCTCTAAATGACATGGCAGGTTACCCTGGTAACCCTGGTTACCAACATTATGTTGATTCCTTGCAGTTTTTACAAAGTCTATAATAAAAGAGATAAATATGTTATTTCGATAAGCACAATGACACTTATCACTGTAACTGATGTAGTGATTAGCTGTTTGGTATGATTTATTTGGTTTTAGATTAAGTGTTTATCAGTTTATGCAAGTTAAAATAATTGTGCTTATTTAAATTTTCTAAAACCTCATGGCAAGGTAAACATTTATAATTTTTTTTTTTCTTGTTTTTGGTACCCATTGAAGACTGTTTAGGTTTTCAAAAAACATGCTCATAACCCCCATATAACACCTACATGGAAAAAAATATATATATTTAAATATATTTGTAGGAAATGACTGCAGATGGTTCCTTTGTGAATTCTGGAACATTTAATCATTTTTTTATTAATAAAAAAAGCTGTATACGCATTGTATAATTCCTCTGCCAGCATATATAAACTACCCTGACATTTCAGGTGCAAAGTGAAAATTTCCACGTCGACCGCATTAGAAGTAGGACTAATTATCTCTTGTCGTAAAGAAACATTACGACAAGATATATGTATGCAAGCAGGCTACATGTTTTCACTTAGTCAGTAATAAAATATTTAAATAATTTTTTCCTGTAGTTTTCTTTCAGGTTCAAACTTGCTGGGATTTATTTTTATCACTTGTTTTCTCTTGTCATCTTTGAAGCCTCACCAGTTGACCCAGTTTCATTCAATTACTTGTTGGGTTTTCTTTAAAGTAATTTCTCCTTTCTTTAACCCTTTTTGTTTTCTTTTTTTAACGGATATAAATATGTATTTTTTTAACAGCCTGTTTATTTTGCGACGCTCGATAATTAAACGTCTTTATTGCTCCACACAGATATAACCAGGCAGCTTCTCCCTGTCCGCTAACCTACTTAGATTACACGTGTTTATTCACGCTGTCCTGCTGAAAAACAGCTTGTCCTTCTGTGTTGCTGCCTGCACTCTGTGATGGTGTTGAAATGAACTTGAACAAAAAGTACATGGAGAAAGATTTCTAAATTTGCAGTTAACCTATTATGTGATGCTTTCTGATAGCTGCTGTAGATCAAACATTGCTAAAGCATTCCCTGTGTCAGCTTGGCCCTGAAGCTTCATTTCCTTTTTTTTTTTTTTCTTTTCCCCAACCCTCTGACGCCGTGGCTGAGTCATGACTCGTCTGTAGCACTGATGTCATCATTATAGCATGTCTCATCTAAATAATAATACTAAATCTTTGCTTAAGATAACTAATCAAGCCCAAGCATCTTAAATTTTTTTGTTTTTGTTGTTTTTTTTAGTTGGGGGTTTCAGTGGTTATTTGTATGACTGTGGGTTTGGTTTGAACCTTTAGTGTTATTTTATATGGAAATATCCCATATAAGAGAGGGACAGTCCCACTGAAGGAAGAGCAGGAAGTCTACCCAGAAGGGGAACTTGATGTTTTCCTTTTCTGTTCCCTTACAGATTGTTTCAGACAGTAAAAGTATGTATTCACCTGCTTATCAGTGTTTTGTTGTAGGGCTAACACAACATGTCCTTTATATTGAATTATAAGCTTTATTTTAAGATAGGCTTATTTAAAAAAAAAAAAAAAAAAAAGTTTTTATATTTTAATCTTATTAGTTTTTAAGAGTTCGATATTGGGGCTGGAACAACAATTGATTTAGTAGTTGACTAATCAATCTATTTAGTTAACTAGCTAGTGAGCTAGCAACATGTTTTTAGTTACTATATTCCCTGGATGATTAATTGATCTCTGCATTCGCAAAAAATAGCTTCAGCCCTAATGGGACATGGTAATATTTCCATGTATGCTTATGAAAGAATTATTTTTAATATATATTTTTTTAACATCATGTTGGTGTGTTTTAATGTTTATGTAAACACAGAGTGAAAGAGGGGGAAAAAACATGGAAGGTGGGACATAGTTTTATAATTTCAGTTTAAGCAGCTTTAAGAAATCTCCAGGTGGGTTTGTCTTGACTGTCCGCTTGCCATTAACCCCTGCATGCGCTCCCTACAGCCCTACTTCATACCGCTTCATCCTTTGACTGCTTTGCAACTCTTTTGATACATCTCGTGTCCTGCCATTGACTTCACTATGTGTGTTTAGGTTTAAACAGAGGTGCATGTAAAGGTTCACACAACTAGAGTTTGACACAACGCCTTTATGTAGACTAGTTTATGTAATATTGCCTTCTCGTCCACTACAACGTAGCCTGATAATATAAGAAAAAGGCTTAATGTTTTCTTAAACTGATTTAGTTTGGTGCTGCAACTAATTATTTTGCCAATCCATTAATCTGTCTTTTTGTTTTATTATTAATTTAATAATTTGAAAGCCAAACGTTCTTTAAAGAAGACCTTTTTGGAAATCAAACAAAGTGAAACAATTTTATTAATATAACAATTTTTATTATAATTACTGCTCTAAGTGGGTTGCTGTTTCAGCTAAAGGATCTCTTAGTCTACATTCCAGTTAACGATTGCTTACTAAATTAGTTAGCAATTTCAATAATCCATTAATCACGATTAATCTGATTGTTTCAGCCTTAAAATGTTCGCATTTATACTTTATCAGCTTAATTGGTGGAGAATGATTCAATTACATATTGATTCGTTCTCCACTGATTAAGCTGATAAAGCTTATTTTTCCATTAAGTAAGAATTCCCTCCGAGAATTTATATTCAACTGTAGATTGACCATTAGAGAGCTTTTTTTTTCTTTGTAAAATCACTTTTCTAAGAAAAATATCAGAGGATGTTGCACGATTACACATGACTCATACCATTTGTCAAGATTGCACCATTTGCTGAAATCTGCAGAGGCTGGGGGGGAAAAAAGGAAGCAATATTTGCCAGTAGTTTATTTGAGGGAACGTGATTCATTGAAGTCCTGTTAGTTTATGAAGCTGATTTAAAGCAGAGCTCTTATGTGGTATTTGCAAGTCAGATCACCTTTTCTTTAATGTTAAACCTTTGGCCTCAGATCTGCTCCAATGAAGCATCTGTGTGGCTAAAATGAAGTGAGTCATCTGAGCCCGGTCCAGTTTGAACGTGCTTCAGCATTTTTGAATGCAATTACAGACGGTGACTCTCCATGCTGCTCAGCTTTTATCCCCAACTCTGAATATTACTAGTTTTCTCTTGGAAAGAGATCAAGCCATAAATTATTGCTGTTGTATTTCCTGTCTATTCCAGTTTCCTCCTGTTTATTTATTTTTTTTAATTTTCTTTAACCATTTCATCTGCTTGTTTTCCATTAGCCTAATCTGTAAAGGTGCTGTATGAAATGTGTGTATTTTACGGCAGCATCAACGTCCCACTGTTCTCGGCAGGCTGGAGATGGTAAACAAAATGCCAGCGACTCCATGTCAACTTCATCTAGTTGCTTGTCTAATAGCATAGGTTTTTAAATGGCTCACTGAACAGCGTCTATCCCAGCAGTTTCTCCTAACAATTTGGTTTCCATCCTTTTAATGAGAAAAGAATAATACAGTTTGATCGGATCCCCGTAGGAGTTTTTTTCCGTTCTTCCTTGAGGAGGCTTAACGCCAGCAGTAAGTCTCTGCTGTGATTTGCCAACAGAGCCAGCTGAGATGAGCGGTCCCGAGGTCGCCAACACACCGGGAGGCGGAGCGCCAGGAAAGGAAGGAAAAGAGCCGGTGGCCAATGGGCATGCAAGTGACAGTCCTGACGCCAACCCATTTGCTGAGTACATGTGGATGGAGAATGAAGAGGAGTATAACAGACAGGTGTGTTCACATAACATGATGTAAACGCATCCTATAGATCCATGGAGCCAGGGCAGATTTATTTTTATTAGAACTTGATTAAAAATGTAGATGTATGAATTTAGAAAAAATGTTTTATTAGCAAACTGGAATGTCCATATATCTGCTGATGGTTTGAGGATTTATCTTTGAGGGTGGAAACCTTAATTTGTTGCCTTAATCTTGAACTCCCTCTATTATATTGAGTCATAACTCTGGTCGATCTGCTCTAAAATGTTATTGTTGTAGATCAGAACTCACATGTTGGTAAGATTGGAATCTAAATGAAGGTAATGAATTATATAAATTTTTTTTTTTAATTTGAGGTGGAAGAGGAGCTGCTGGAGCAGGAGTTCTTGGAGCGTTGCTTCCAGGAAATGCTGGAAGAGGAAGACCAGGACTGGTTCATCCCTTCGCGTGACCTCAACAACCAGGGAGTCGGCCAGCTGCAGCAGCAACTCAACGGGCTGTCGGTCAGCGACCACCACAGCAACGTGGAGGAGGTTGCGGTGAGTCCCCCCCCCTTCTTTCCTGCAGTGCGGATCGCCAACAATCGAATTAAAGAAAATTGTTTTTATCGTGTCCTTTCTCCTCCTGCAGAGGAAGAGCATCTTGAATCCAGAGGCGAAGGAATTCGTGCCAGGAATGAAATACTAGAAGTCCCCCTCACCCCCATGGAGCCTCCATGCACTCATGAGCCCTTACACATCCAGAGACTCTTACGGCCCTGGCCGCACACATTCTTATTGTTCCACACGCACACATACACACACACACACACACATTTAAAGTCAGTGGTGTGCCGGCAGGCCCAGTTGGGGGGTGGGGGGATTTCTTTTCCTTTTCTTTCTTTTTCCTATTTGATCTTTTTGTTTTCAGCTTGTTTTGTTTTGTTTCTTGTAAACTGAGGGGCACTGGCCTCAGATCAGGGGTGTGGTACCAGCACCTCCCTCCTGCTAAAGCTAGCTCATCGCTCATTTCACATGTTATAGATTGCCGTTTACAGAGCAGGCAGGGCACACTGTAGTTTCCTGGAAACTGGCAGCTACCTGAAGCGACACCAGGTCAAAACTTTAATTCAAAAAAGCTTTACGGAAATGTCAAATATGTTCCAATCAACATTAACTGCTTTTCTTTTTTTTTTTTTTTTTTTATGGGCAAAACCATTTTCAGTAGGAAGAGGGTTTAAGCAGCAAACAAGCTAGAAAAACGACAAGAATTTCAGGAAACTCCGGTAAAGTTCTGCACCTGCTTTGTAAAGCAGTCATTTAAAGTGAAGAAAGCTGAGCACCGGCTCTGTTTCAAAACAAATAAAGACCCCCTTCTCTCTCCCCGCCCACCTGGCAGTTCATTTAGTTATCAGAGCAGACATGGACAGCTGTAATCGTGGATGACAGATTATTTTTTAGATTTTTATATGGATATCCAGGTTTATCTTTTTGTCCAATGTAGAAGAGCCGAGGTGGTTAACGTCTAAATCACGCATCAAGTTAAGTTTATTGAAAGGAAAGAAAAAAAAAATCTAGATTGTTATAGTTTATTTTGCTGACGGCTTCATGCTTGGTTTCAGATTGGGTTCTTCTGGGGACCAGTTTTGTTACGCTGGGGGACTGGTTTGATTTGAAACGCAGCAGCTGCCTCTTTCCGTTGGACCGCCTCAGTTACTCAGATTTAGAGTCCGTATCCAGATCAGGCTCTCAGATAATTTTGTCTCCTTATTTTATTTTTCTTTCTTCTCCATTCATGTGTTTGAGGATGAGCTGTTGGTCCCTACTGTGGTCTCCAATATGTCCTGTTAAAGATAAACATATGATGCATCCAGGCCATTCTTTTTATTCCTATTGGATAAGGACATATTCAGTTCTATATATATATATAAATTCTTTTTTTTTTTCTGGGTGAAGTTCTACTTTTAGACCAGAACTCTGTGTGTATCAGGGTTTTATTTTCCTTCTAGATTTCAGGCTTTCAATATAAAATCAGTGAAACTGTAAGGAATATACTTTGAGAAATTCCAATTCCAGTCAGCAGTAATATTTTCCTTTTTTTTTTTTTTTATCCGTCATGTAAGCTTTAAAATGCAGCAGCAGTATTATTGTTCAAAAGCCTCTGATTATTTTATTCCCGGGTTAGCAAATCATCCAGGAAGCAGTTGGTGCTGTCACCGCCTCTCTGGCTTTAAACCAAGCAGCAGCAGAGACACAGGAGTTACGCTTTTCAAGGAGAACTTCCTCACAGTGTTGGACCACCGTAACCATGGCACCCTGGGGAATGGAGAAGCCAGTGGGGACCGTCCGCCAGGTGGATCGCATAACATAAAATCATTTTTGGAGATCTATTTTTTTTTTTGTCTGTTAGATGACAGAAGCTGTTTTAAAAAAAGAAAAGGAAAAAAAAAATCTGAAGACACAGTATGGATTCAATAGAGTTAAAAATGATGAAAAAAGACAAATAAAGATGTTAAAGACAAATCTAGGTTGTCACTGTTTTTATTTTTAATCTCCAATTAAATGTTTTAATTTGAAAAATTAAGCATTTTCATTGAGGATTATAAATATTTATGAATAGTTTAAACAAGATGAATACAGCTCTTTAGGTCTGTTTTATAGCGAGCCGTTTTACAAAATGCTAGATAACCTTTTTTATTATGCAAATGTGACTACAATATATTTATTTGCATTATTGAAACGACTATACAGGCTTGTATTTGCTTCACTAAACAGCTCTGTTAGGAGATAAAGAAACCTCAATGTTTAAACATTTATTCTGCAAATTTACCAAATCAGAAATGGTCAATTTGCTTGAAGTATGTCATAAAAAGATAATCTACAGATTTGGGTGCATAATATCAGCAATAAGTGCATTTCCTGTGCTTTGAACCACAGATGGGATTCGAAGAAAGTTTGGTGTCTATGCAGAGTTAATCTTGTTAGTAAATTTTGACCAGGATGAGGAAAAAGTAGGAAGAGTTTAACACCATATCAATTGTCTGGCAGCCTTGTAATAAAGCAATGCCAGAAAAATTCACAGTAATAGATTTATTTTAAACTGTTAAAATCAGTGGGTCAAAATAAACTAGATCTATTTCATAAATATATCATTTTTGTTGCTTAACATATTTTTACCACTATAGTTAATTTTACTTTTACTTCAGTAAAAAAAACAAACACAAATCCACCTGATCTGGTGCTCTGACTCCTGCTTCCCTCCTGTGTCCTTGGAGAACTCGTTGGAGCAAAAACTAGCCCTGACCGCCATTCTGTTTTAGAAGCAATGAATTGTTTTGACTCCTAAAAAGCATGATAAAGACGTTATTTAAAAACAAAAAAACAGACAGCTGTTATTTTCATTGGCTTTATATGGGAGGTTGGTTCTGTGACAAGGAGGATGATGTTAAATTGGATGGGACTTTGGCTTGGCCAACCTGGTGGAGAGATATGAGGAGAACAGAAGGGATGAGAACATTATGGTGTCATCAGCAGAGGATCCGCTGCCTCCCTCTATACCTGATTAGAATACTGGTACTGATACTCTGTCAGCCTTGGGCTGGGCTCTATACGGACACTTCTCCGCTGTCCTGGAGTCAGTGGTTTGAAGCTGCTCTGAGAGATCTTAGGAGGGACATCTTCATGCTCAGATTTTAACCTACAGCTGGGAATGGGAGAAAAGCAGAGATGTCAGAAAATAAGCATTAGTGATAAAAGAGTGGGGTTGTCTCTAAACGTACAGACTGCACTCTCTGAAGGTTGGCTGATAGGAACAGCTGCTCTTCAGTTCAAGACCTGACCTCACGATTCTCAGCCACTCCTTGGTTACTTCATCTACTCAGAGGTTGGAAGTTCAGAGTTAATGAGCGGTGCCTTGGAAAGGTATTCATTATCAAACTTCAGCTTATTCTAATTGGGATTTTACATTTTAGACAAACATGGTTCTAAGAATCTTAAAAGTGAACATTGGTTCGCTCCCTGAGATTGAAGACATGGTGTGGAAAACCAGACTGATCAATTCTGTTTCAATTTGACATTTGGATTTTTTATGAAGAAAGGTGCTAAATAACTATATAGAGAGCGTGATTATTTGCTCTGTCATGGAAGGCGATGTGTCAGATTGAACCTCGCCTCTCACCCAATGACCGCTGGGAAATCCAACCACAATCATGCAAAGATGAGGTAGAATAGACGATTAATGGATGTATTGATAGTGTTATTAAACCAAAGACAATACAAAAAGGTTCAAAGGCAAGAGTTCAATCCTATGATTGTGTTTTCCCATAACTTTGGTCATTTATATCTACCTAAATTTGTCATTTTTGGCAAAAAAAAAAAAAAAAAAATGATCAGCCCTATTTTTAACCTGAAACCCAATAAGGAGAGGTTGCATTTCTATCCCTTTATAAGAAAAGCTTAATTTCAGGGAACAGATGATGACCTGTGTTGTGACTCAGTCTGATAAACGTAATGAATGCCATTGGGAAGGTGAGGAGGTGGGAAGGTTTGGCTTCTCTGTGCAAAAACTGCAGGAAGTCCTCATAACCGATGGGACCTCTGTATGGTGAGAATAGAATCACCATAGATTCAAGACCAGGTTTACATTCATTCCCTTTAATAAGGAAGGATTAAATACTTGCTATTAAAAAACAGACAAAGAAAAAAATAATCCCTCATTTTGTCAAATTACAACCAAACGCTTTACTGTATTTTGTTGGGACTGTATCAGATAAACCATTTTTTTTTTTTTTTTTTACAACTAATAGAAATATTAAAGACTTAAATGTGCAAATGCAAGCAAAAACATGTAGAAGCAGAGGCGTCAAATGTATTCATGTCTATTACTCAAATAGAAATATTAATCCTACTGTTAAAAAAACACTTGTAGAAATGAGGGTATCAACTAAAGCTTTTTACTCAAGTAAAAGTAAAAATTTAAAACTACTTAAAGTATAAAAGTAAAAGTAATGCAGAACAAAAATGTTAAAGGACATGCTTTACTGCACTACCTTAAACTAAAGGAAACATTTTCTACAATTCTGGATGATAACTTCATTGTCTTAGTTTTATAAGTAACGGTTACAGTGTCAAATAAAACTTTGCATCATCTTGAAAAAACTATTCTATTATGTGCTGAACCAGAATCTGGTGCAGTAACAAGTACAACCACAAAGAAATTGTCTAGATGAAGCAAATTATTTTTTTTATACCAACAGCCCATAACAAAAATTGGCTTAAATTAAACATAAATAATGAGTCTATTTTTAAAATGTAAGGAGCAGAGAGTAGAGATAACTGCAAAAACGGGAAGGAGTAAAAGTAAACAGTTCTCTGAAAACAATTATTCCAATAAAATATAGCCAAAATTTCTACTTAAGTAAGGTAAGTAAGTATTTGTACTTTGTTTACTTTACATATCTGTGTAGAAGTAACCTATTTAAGTAAAAAAAAACTAGTTTGGAGTTTCTAGCCAACAAACAGCATCAAGGAAACCAAGCAGACAGGTTGTAAATAAAGTTATGGGGAATTTAAACTAGAATAAAGGAATGAAACAGAGACATGCTCATCCTTCTGGATTTCTAAAGAGGTTAATGTAGCTTCTCCAGAGATATTAATAAAACAAATATTGCTTGTGCACCTTAGCAAATATGGCCTTTCATGGAAAGAGTTGCAAGAAGAAAGCCTTTGTTGAACCACAAAAAGTCCTGTTTGCAGTTGACTTTAAAGCCATGCATAAGACACAACAAGGAGGACAATTTGGTTAGGTTAGATCAAATATGTGTAACATAAAGGTAACATTAGACATAACCAAGAATATAGCATTCCCACCTTATATTATGGAGTGCTGTTATGCTGTAGGGAGGCTTTTTCTGGGCTAGGAAGGCTGCTCAGCGAGCTACATACAGAACAATGCTGTGAGGAAACCCGTCAGACGCTGCAAAGGATTTTTGTGCACCAGAATGGCCTAGTCAAAGTCCAGACCTTAGTGTTTAACAGCTTTTTTTGAAAAAACGTCCCTGTCAAATCCGTATTTAACAAAACAGAAATGGATTTTTGATGTGCAAAACATGGGATTGGCAGATAGGACTGCAACCAAAGCGCATTTATTTACTAAAATGGGGTGAATGGATATGCTCATTACAATTTTAAGATTTCGAATCTTATAACATTAATTTAAAACCTTCCATGAGCTTTGCTGTTCTACAACAACTTTGTTAAGATCTATCAGTTCAAATCCCAATAAGTGTAACAATAGATTGAGGTTTGGGTTTGTAGAGTGACAAAATGTGCAGCTTTGAAGGCAAGTATATTTGTATAGGACATGTCATTACCAAGACAATTAAACGAGCTGTACATGACAGCAGCAGATCTTGATTATTTTTACAATGAGGGGGTTTCATGGGGCCAAGGAACAAAGGAATAACATGTAGGGAAGAAAAAAGAGAATAAAGCAAGAGCGAATTTTTTAGTATATTAAATGAGTGACAAACAGGTCATTTCTGCATTCACAAAATGATTTTTCAAGTATTTCATTGGATTGGTCCTAGTAACAAATCAGTTACTGTCTCGTTTTACCAGCTCATATTATCATAAGAAAATGTTTTGGTATTACACTGCAAGACTGATCGAAAAAAGTAAAAGTTTCTTAAAACCCAGTATATTTGCAGGTAAATAAGAACATCTGCCAAAGAAATTATGAATCTTGCCCTTAAAACAAGACAATTGAATACTACACATAAAATAATTATTTTTCTTATTCCTTCTGCAAATTATGTTGCTTAAATTATAGTGATACAAACCTATTAAAAAGAAAAAGTGACTAACATTAAAATTTTGCAGTTTATGTTTTTAGCACAGGGGCCATAAAAGGGGTCAGGACCAGTTCTACAGGGGGACTGGCTCCTGTTGGCCCCCGTCTAGAACCGCCCATGGCACATGAACAAAAGATAGTAGGAAAACTAACTCGGAAAAGTACATATCAGTGTAATGATAGGAGGTAAATATAAAAACAAAAGGTACTTAAATAAATAACTAATAATTAGGTGATAAAACAATTAAGAATAAAAGGAATAAAGGATGTGACCAAACATTTCAAACACATGAATTATTTTAATTCCTTATAAATCACTCCAGGAGCACAGACACCATGTAAAAACAGTGGCCTCACCTTCCTCGTATTGAACATCAGCCTTCCTCTTTTGCACATCATCCTTCTGCTCTAACAAGCCTGCTGTCAGCAGAAAAAAACACTTTAAACATCAACACGCCTGAATGCTTCACTATTTTTCCTTCAATCAGTTCTCCTCACTCCTTCGACCACAATAAATCTGATGTGGCCTGTCATCCTTTAAACCAAATGAAAGCTCAGCTCCAGGTTCGAATGCAGGCGAGAAGATAGGAGGGGCGACACAGGGGGGAGGCTGGGAAACATATGAGTGTTAAATGCAGATAATGGTGGATAAATGGAGGGAAAAGAAATGGATTTACATAGAGCACAGTTAAAACTGATCGCTTACCTTAAAGCCAACAGCTGAGCCTTTGGGGATGTTGGTTCTCATGTGCAGGGGTTGAAACACAGGGGGCATTTTATGTTCAGGCTGCAAAAACAGCAACAATTATTGATGTAAAAAGTGACTCTATAATCACCTGTTTGTCTCTCAGGATATCTGGACCAACCGGAAAGGAGCTGCTTAATTCAGCTACAGCTTCAGCTCGAGGCTTCAGGTGTTGCTCACATTCATTGAATGGTTTAAAGTTGTTGCTGTAGGTGGTGGTGAAATGCTCTGAGCGTATCGAACAGGGAAACTGAGAGAAAAACAGGAGGTTTAAAAAGGCAACAGGAAGATGTAAAACATGCAGCAAATATCTGAAAAAGGCCTTTCAGTGAAGGATTATCTAGAGCCTGCATACTCTAAAATAGACCATTAGAAGGTACAGAAATGACCACAGGAGTCAAACTTCATGTTTTATTTATTTGTAATAATGACACACATTTAAAAGAGTTTACAAAAGCACATAAAAAATGCAATAAAAATCTAGGTAATTACATCTAGGAGGAATATGGACTTTTAGAGAGTGCACAATATAACAAATAAAAAAGTAAAATAATAAAATGCTGTGCATTTTGACTGATATTTATATCCAAAAAATAAAGACAACTTAAAACCAACAACTGGAAAATTGCATGATGGCTGTTATAACATGCTTTAATTAATATAAAAGCTTAATCCACCACTTAGGCAATAGACACAAAAAAATAAAAATACTACCAAGCTCAAAATAAACAATTCCCAACTGGGCTGAAACAATTAATCAGATTAATCAATTATTGAAATAACCTAATTTAGTAATCGATTATTCTTTAACTGGAGTATAGAACTGAAATGTGTCTTTAGGTGACAGAGCGACCCACGTAGAGCAGTAATTATTTAAACATTTTGAATTTAAGATAAAAAAAACGTTTTTGTCTGTCAATATGCTGTATCCAGAACTCCTCAAGTGGAAAAGTTTTAGTTTCACATGATTTAATTTCGTTAAAAGGAATATTTGGCTGTGTGATTATTAATCAGTTAAGTGAAAAAAACAACAACAGATTAATCAATTTGCAAAAGAACTGTTAGTTGCAGCCCTAGTTTAAAGGAATTT